CCTCAGTCTCCCTCTCTCTCTCCTCCCTCAGTCTCTCCCTCTCTCTCTCCTCCCTCAGCCTCCCTCTCTCTCTCCTCCCTCAGTCTCTCCCTCTCTCTCTCCTCCCTCAGTCTCTCCCTCTCTCTCTCCTCCCTCAGTCTCCCTCTCTCTCTCCTCCCTCAGTCTCTCCCTCTCTCTCTACAGCTGCTTCATTTCAGGACAGCATATGTTATGACTTTCTCCTTTTGCATAAATCAGAAACTCAAACATCTGTTAGTTATTTGTGTCATCACATGATAAATTATGCAAGGAAGACAGTGCGTCGAGCTTGTCTTCACCTGGATGTTTGATGACACGATGTCTTAGGACTTGGGAGCAGCTGCCCTGTCCCTGAGAAGCTCGGGACGCCTCTCCTCTGCCCCGGGTCAGGGTGAAACAGCTCGCCTGCTGTCAGCCGCGGTTTCCTCCAGACTTCCTCCCTTTCCCTCTCTGAAGTCCAGAAGTACGGTTCAAACCCAGACTTCCATTTGCCTTTCAGAACATGAAAGGTAAATGTAAATCATCATTGTCGGTCTGTTCAAAGTGGATTTTCAAAAACTCGGGTGCCGCTTCTCACCTCTTCCCCGCAAACCGCCACTGGCTTGAAGGCCGGGCACAGCTCCGAGGCGCGGCGGCCTGCTCAGCTGGCCACAGGCCCTCGGTGGGAGAGCGTCCACGCTTCCTTTAACATCAGAACTCATTAGCTATGCACGTGTTTACATTCTTTCCAGTGGCTAGTTATGCTCCCTTTCAGGCTCGGCAGGGTCTGCAGTTTGTCTTCCAAGACAAACAGCCGGACACTTAACCTAGTGCACACCAGCGTGTGGGTGAGCAGGAGGGAGGTGGCTGAGGGGTCTCCAGTGGGAGAGCAGGCCCAGGAGGCGTGGGGGGTCTGGGAGGCGAGTCACAGAAAAGCTCTGCCGTGGTTTGGCCAGAAGCGTTCCCAGGCCGAAGGAGGAGCAGCCCGGGGCCTCCTTGAAGCAGCTGGTATTCGGCAGGGATGACACCGCTCCCGAGGGGTGTGGAGCGTCTTGCTGGAGCGGGGTGGACGGAGCTGGACGGAGGCCGGAACCTGTCCCTGGAGGGCTGCCTCCTTCCGATGAGGGAACATGTTGGCATTAGGCCCTGGCAGCGGCTGAGCCACCACCCAGGGGCCCACCTGGCCAAGCACTTGGAGCCCATGAAGAGCTGGACGACGCCCTCTGTATACTTTCACCCCCTCATCTTCGCCATGCCCCTGGCCACCCAAGTTTGTGGCCAAGTTCTGTAAAGAGAAGCTGACGCTGGGCACCAAGCAGAGCTATTGGATTTGCAAGCTGGCAGAATTGTCCCATGGCCCGGCATAGTCCTGTTCAGTGACGCTAGAGACCCCATCTTTAACTGAAAGACCCCAGACTCCTGGGATACTTTCGTCAACGGGAGGGCGCCCCAGAAAACTCAGACTCCAGGCCGGGAGATGCAATAAGCAAGTTTATTTGACGTTTGCGCAAATGGACTCCCCGTCCCGAGCAGACAGGGAGCCCCGAGCAGTGGCTACAAGCCTTTTCAAAAGCAAAAATCACAAGATTAACGCATAACACAAAGCATCCCATGATTGGTCCATTTAAAGGTCACCATATACACCAACAATCACTTTGCCACGCGGGAAATTTTGTAACACTCTTTGTAAAATGACTGGCCCATGGTTGGTTTAAGGGGGGGTTTACATGGTTACAGGCCTATGATTGGTTGACATTTGGCTTAGCTTGTGGTCTTGCCAGGTGGTCGTTATCTCAAGGTCCTGTCTGGGGAATTTCTAAATGGGAACTGAGGAACACGTACTGTCTGTTCTTTATCTACAACCACTGACCTTGTCCTGGTGCTGGCATCTGGTCCCTGAAACTTTTTAACTCATTTTTGGGAAGGGAAGGGTCAGTGCCAGCGTAAGCAAGTTTACAGAAGCAGAATCAGCAGTTAGCAAATTAGCAAATTGTAAAATGGACGCAGCCCTAATTTTTCTAATTCTTCATACGATACATACATAGTTCAGAAATATATCCGCAACCTCCGCTCATAGGCAGGTGCCAGCACGACCTTCCCATCTGCATCTACGTCACCAGCGTTAAGCCTTCCACCACTTACCTGCTCAGGGAGGCCTGGCGCTGTTGGCTATGGAAAAGCTTCATCTCAGTAACGTGCAGGACTATTACTCTCATCTGACCAACAGCAGCATCCATCCACGGGGCCCCTCCTGGAAGAAATCAACGAAGTGGCGGACCACGGACGCAAGTGGACACCCTCCAGGCTTTTCTCTTATCTCGGTCACTGGGATGTGGACGATCTGTTTTGTGGAAGATCAACTTCTTGGCGATCCTCACCACCTCACCATGGCTCCTCTGTCCTAACCACCATCAATTGCTTTGAGCTCTTTGGATTCGATATCTTGGTCAGTGACACCTTGAAACCATGGCTCTTAGAAGTCATCTACAGCCCTGCCTTGTCATGAGATTGTTCCACAGATGTGTCAGTGAAGAGAAGACTTGTCCATGCTGTTATCCAACTGATCTATGTAACAGTCTAAAGGGTGAGGAGAGGGAACGGGGCAAAGCCACAAATAAAACTCCAGCGTCTCCTTTACCACGGGCGGTCAGCGCAGGCCCGGCCGGGTGCTCTGCTCACGCGCACATACATCATCTTAGGATTCACAGACGGAATGTGCAAGAAGAAAGTCACCGTCACAAAGAAAGCCTCAGGGTTGTGCCCCAAACACACACGCGCTTCCCAGCTGAGGGCAGCGACCAGCGGCCCGAGGGCTTCCTCGTGCCCACAAGAGACTCCTCTGAGGTCAAGTCAGGTCTCGGGAGACTCCACCGTCCTATGCCGTCCTCTCTCCCCCAGCCGCGGGGCGGCGGGACCAGGGAGGCCTCACGCACCTCCCCAGCCTCCAGCCGGGCCCCAGACGCCCGGCAACGTTGCCCTCATTTTACCTTTCAATGAAGTGACTTTTGGGGCTTCCAGGAATGGATTATGTGTCAAACGAATAATCCAAGAGTTCCAAAACAGAATGGATAACAACATTGCCAAGTGGCCCAAAGTAAAAACAACACAAGATGAGGTGGGGTTTTGAACCCTGAGACTTCCTACCCCAGAGCTGGTGCTCAGCCAGCGGCTAAGGGAGGTGACAGAGCTCCTGGGCCGGCTCTGAGGTCATGGGCGTCGGCATGGCGCTCGGACAAGCACGGTATGTGCCCGTGAGGTCAGACTGGACGCGTCACAAGTCTGTTTGCTCAGATCTCTTGGAAGAACAGCGGCTGCCCCCCTTGCCTGTGGATGGACCCTCCCTCCCATCACCTCACTATGGATTCGTGTCAGCGTGGAAGAGTGTCTGAAACACTGTACAGGAAGGTTAGGTACGAGCGGTGCAACCAGAGGCCAGGAATTCACTTTGTGTCTTAGTGTTGTCACTCTCTGTCTAAGTTATTTTGGCAACTTCAATCATTCAGAATAGTATGAGTCACTGAAAACCCCCAAAAGCCCCATTGTGCATAAACCCTATATCAGACCTACTAACAAATATATGAGTATTGGTCCTCCAAAACACACAACCTCTGTCTGGCCTCGTCACTGTCCCCCCCAGGAGACGCGTGCGCCCAGGTTTCCGGGCGGGCAGGGTTGGCAAACATCACCTCTCAGTAGACCCCCCTGTGGCCCTGCATTCCAGCGCAGCTCCTCCCTCTCTTGCAGACTGAGAGCAGCCTGTCTACAGCGGCTGGAGGAAGGTCTGTCGGGCTGGGTCCTTGCGGGCTGACGCTGACCTCTGACTCATGAGTCCAGACATCGCTCCGTAAGATGGCTCTCGTCCTCCTCTCCTGGGGCAGCCTGACAGCAGGCTTCTGATCTATGGGCCGCGGATGCGCCTGTCCACAGCTCCTGAAGTGAACTCCAGTACCAGTCCCAGGGCCCAAGTGTGCGGGGACAATCCGGTCCACCACAGGACCCAGGCCAACAGTAGCCCTAGATAACATAATGGCTGGATTCATCTCCAGCCATGTGACACAGTCCAAGCCCACCAAGAGCCATGATCCTAGAGGCAATTCCATGTAGCCAGGGACCTGACACAAGAAGACATAACTTGTTGAAACCAGTCCCTAAAGATTCACAGAGTGGCGTCTTAAATGCACAGACTGTTCATGTCTATGCCAGTCACAAGGGACAGGTAACCATGACCCCAGCGAAGGGTGCCTTGGTGCCTGTCTTACAAGAGGGAGTACATGGTAAAGCTAGCAGAGCCTCTGCTTGCTTTTGAGGGGTGTGCAGCCAAGCTCAGAAGACCTCATCCTGAAGAAGTTAATTCCCTGTGGGTCCAAAGGCTCAGTATGCCAAAGACACCAAATTTGGGCTCTCCAAGGCTTGGGAGTCCTGGCTTTGATCTCCACTATGCTGGGCATACAATAGGTGCTGACTACATTCTCCATCCCTTGATTTTTCTGTGGTACTGCCTTGCTTGTAGCAAAATACACTCCTGTTTTCTGTGGGTGTGTTCTGAGACTGCACGCTTCCTTATGGCCTCTAACTGACATGTGTCGGGGAAATGGCCCTGGTCTCTCCTCGTGGAATCCCGTGGCAAAAAGTGCTGGTTTGCATCCTGCAGGATCTTATCAAGGAGGTTACAGTGTACACAGTACAGTATGCTCCTCCATCAGACCTACCATCTGCAAGATAAGAACTCGGCCTCCTGAGGAGCTTGAGTTACAGGTATGAGCCATGGTGCCCCTCAATGCACAGATGTTTTAATCCGATTAACCTCCTTGTCATTAAGCAACTAAGCTTGGTTCATTTGTTACGGCAGTAAGAGGGGGAAAAGTACTGGATGTCCAAATAGCTAAATCCAGCAATAATCCCTAATGTAAGTTATTATGACATAATTCCAGGCACACATGGCAGGAGAGCCATCTCTGGGCCTTGCGGACTTTCTATCTGGTTTTGACCACCTGCACTGCACACTTGGGGACGGCAAGTAGTTCTCAGGAAACGGCATTCATAGCCATCAAGATGTCAGGCAGGTCACTGGAGTCTCAACCCAGACCGAGAGTTGGCAGGCAGAGCCTTCTCCATCACCCTGTTGCGGTCAAGCCAGGTCAGAAGCATAGATGGCTATATTTTGTCTTTCAGCAGTGAAAAACAAATTCACAAGCTGTGTCTATGCCACTGGCATTAATTTTCCAACTGCTCCTGATTTGGCTTGCCTGCTATGCCCATTTCTCGATCAGTCTTACTTAGTCATGTTAACTCTCAGGTCACACTTCCCACAATCATATGTGGATTGTGGAACAGCTAAGAAGGGGTTAAGGAGGCCCCAGGGTTAATTCTGACTCTATTTCAGAGCTCCTTGATCAGTTGTCTGTGCAGGCCCATCTGTGTGGCAGCACAACCCACCACAGCATGTGGTGAAACCCTGCTCACTCCAGAACAAAGGAGAAGAGAAAGAGACTGAGCTGGATAATCCCCGAGGAGACTGGTCCCCTCACCTAAGGCCCCCAAGTACCCACATGCCCCCAGAGGCTCCGCCCCCTCCCAGTGCCCACATGCCCCCAGAGGCTCCGCCCCCTCCCAGGACCCACATGCCCCCAGAGGCTCCGCCCCTCCCAGAGGCTCCGCCCCCTCCCAGTGCCCACATGCCCCCAGAGGCTCCGCCCCCTCCCAGTGCCCACATGCCCCCAGAGGCTCCGCCCCCTCCCAGTGCCCATAGCTCCGCCCCCTCCCAGTGCCCACATGCCCCCAGAGGCTCCGCCCCCTCCCAGTGCCCACATGCCCCCAGAGGCTCCGCCCCCTCCCAGTGCCCATATGCCCCCAGAGGCTCCGCCCCCTCCCAGAGGCTCCGCCCCCTCCCAGTGCCCACATGCCCCCAGAGGCTCCGCCCCCTCCCAGCAGCACCTAGATCAGGCCAGCCTCTGTCACATGTCCGCCGGGGACTTTCAGGCACCTGTGCCAGCAGACTCATCCAAAGAGCAGAGGACAGGGTTAGGAGTGAAAAGCGGAGTCTGGCTTTGGGGGAACTGGGAGGAAATGCCATTTTAATAAGCAGATTTCAGGACTGCCAGAATGCCTCCTCCACCTAGACTTCCGGCAGAGGGACACCCCGCTCCCGCCCATCAGGATTTTACACGCCTGACAGTGGAGCATGGACTGACATCTCCCTACACACAGTGAAAACTGCCCGTCGGGCCAGTCACACAGGCCGAATGTGGTTTACAGACAAGATCTGACCCTGGCTGCCTCCCAGCCTCTCGCAGACCACGAGGAGTCGTTTGTGCTGGGAATAATGTCCCCTTTCATTTGCTTGGATGACAGTCCGTCTCGGCTGACCCAGAAGACTCAGCGCACTAAGCAAGTCCATCTGCAGCCAGACCCAGAGTGGGTGTTCAGTCAGGAGCTTGGCCCATGACAGCTGATAGATGTCTGTGCCCTGGCTGGCCATTCATCTGAAGAGCAGGCCTCGACCCATGGAGACAGCTTCTGCCCCATCAGAGCCAGGACAGCACATTGTTCTCCAGTTACTTTAAAGAACATCACCAAAACACCGAGGATCGCTGTGATGTGCCGTAATAAACTTACAGTTCCAATATCCACCGACACTAAAGTAGGATATTTCATCTTTCACGTATACACATGAAAAATACAGACAGGAAAAGTTAAATAAACATATATCTGATGAAAGATTTTCAAGAAATGATTCTCTTTTACCTTCCGGGGTCCCACATTGTATCATGAAAATCGGTTGAGCGGCAGTTTGCACTTGCATTTTCAAAACACCCAAAGGAGCCCTCAGTCCGTGTGTCTGTCACGAGGCCCTGCGTGTCCGGAGCAGGCCCCGGACACCGGACTGGGTCCTTCTAACCCCGAGCGCGGCCTCCCCTCCCCTCACCCGGCACGTGGTGGAACTGGCCTTGCGGCTGCGGAGAAAACCTGGTGTCGCTTTTGTGAGCCTCGTTCAGAGCACTTGCGCCAAGCAGGACCTGGGATGTTGGCCGTTTCCAGGTGGCCTGTGCTCCTAAAGTGTGGGGCGTCTCCAAGACCGTTGAGGGGCAGCTGCTCCTTTAGCAGTGCTTGTCTGCGGGGGGCTGGGCTTTCCGGTCCGGGATGACACTGCCGGTCTGGCCTCTGGCCTTGAGCCTTCCGGAAGCGTGCTCACTCTCCCGGCAGCCACTGCCGTACACGGTCTTGCTGGTCCCGTCAGGAAACTCCCTCCGCTTGAAGTGCGCGGTGTGGATCTCCTTCTGCCCGTTGCTGAATGTGATGGTCCTGTCACCGTTCCTGGTCAAGGAGAAGCACCCGTAAGAAGGCCCTGCCGAGGCCAGCTGGGAGCAGGGAGCGAGTGGGGAGAGCGACACCCCAGCACCCAGCTCCCATCCCTGGGGGGGCGCAGATGGAGCCTTGCTGACATGCACCTGTGGGTGAGGGAAATGCATCTGTGCGCAGAGAAGATGAGGCCCAGAAACACAGCTTAGGATGGCAGCGAGGTGGAACCGGGCACACCATGAACACAGGACAGAAAAGGGCCTGGGTGAGGCCGCCGTGGCCTCTAGAGCACGTCTAGACCGAGGGAGACATGCGGCAGCGCTGGAGGGCCAGGAAGCGGAGGCCGCGGGAATTCCACCCAGGCAGAAGCTGGGGCGCGGGCGGGGCAGCGCAGAGGCCAGCTCCCAAACCCCGGCTCAGGCGGCCGGGTGGAGGGCGATGCCCCAGCCAGCTGTGAGACGCCCACGCCCAGCTGTCCGGGCGTGTCCAGGTTTACACACGTTCTCACAGACGGGCTTCCGGACAGACAGCACGGCCCGGTGGAGGGTTGTCATTCAAGCACAGTCAGCTTTCATGAACTAAGTACAGTCCCACGGCATGCCACATCCTGAGAACCGTGTCATCAGGTGATGCTGACCCCCAGTGGCCCTGGCACGGTGGGCCATACAGTCTCACAGGACCACCACCATAGATGTGGCTTGTCGCTGCGGGAGACGGCACTGTGTGTCTGTGACCACTCAAACACCAACCCCCGGAAACCCACGCGCTTCGCCGCGGGGTTCAAGCGGGGTTCGCAGACAGACTCTGAGGGTCCAGGACACCATTTTCTATTGTTATAAGTAAGTAACTATCAAAGGCTTTTTCAGAGGCCTCAGTGACGGACGCGCCAACCCCGGGCGGCTGACCTTTGCACGCACACCACGGTGCCGTCCGGGAAGACTGTCTCCTCGCAGCCGCCGCGCAGACGCGTCACGGTGCCGTCCGGGAAGACCGTCTCCTTCGAGCCGTCGGGGTGGAACTTCTCTGAAGGTTTCGTTTTTTACAAAGAAGGAGTGGCAGGGTTTATGGACACGTGCAGGGGACACACACACAGAAGAAATCCGTCACCAAACATGCCAACTCCTGAACAAAGAGCCGCTATATATCCTAATGAAATTCACAGAGGTTGGCTTCTAGCCGTATGAGTTTATAACTAGGATTGCCAGATAACAGTGTAAGATGCTCCAGTAAAACTTGAATTTTAGAAACTTGCCTAATGCTGGGTATCTGCACTCCCCTCCCACCCCACCCAGGACAGGCAAAGGGATGTCAGTTTGCCGGGCAGGTTGAGGGCATTGTTACCGGTCCGCTTGTTTGGGAACTGCACAATCTCCATGCCATTTGGGAAGGTCGTGTGCGTTGTCTGAGCATCAGCGTAGTAATAAACCTGTAAGCGATCAGAAGGCCATTTGCGTTCTGTGGCGAGCCTGGCTTTAATCTGGTAGGTCTACCTCCTGCGGAGGCTAGAGGGTCTTCCCTAGCAGGTGGCAGAGGGCAGAGCATAGCCACAGGCGTGGGCGTGAGAGGATGGTCACAATCCCCAGAGTGGCCACACAGAGCTGCGGGCCACACAGAGCTGCGGGCCACACAGAGCTGCGGGTCACACAGAGCTGCGGGCCACACAGAGCTGCGGGTCACACAGAGCTGCGGGTCACACAGAGCTGCGGGTCAGAACTGCGGGTCAGAACTGCGGGTCACACAGAACTGCGGGTCACACAGAACTGCGGGCCACACAGAGCTGCCGGTCACACAGAGCTGCGGGCCACACAGAGCTGCGGGTCACACAGAGCTGCAGGCCACACAGAGCTGCGGGTCACACAGAGCTGCGGGCCACACAGAGCTGCGGGTCACACAGAGCTGCGGGCCACACAGAGCTGCGG